CCCCAAAACCCCAAAACCCCAAAACCCCAAAACCCCATCAACTAAAATAATTGAAAACATGTGATTCTATTATCGTTTACCTTAATCCAGCTCCTTATATAGGCTTAAGTGGACTTTTAGGCTTCAAAATACTGAGGCTTAGTTTCTTTACCCTCACTCCTATGGGTTAGATGATAGGATTACCTCTCCTCAACTTCCCATTTGAAGATTTATCAGAGCTATTTGAAAGAGATCTTGAACTTTTTGGTTTTCTTTTAAATTTCTTTTTGTATAAAACCAGACTTGAATAAGCCAATTTCTTACTTTTCTTACAAGGAGAGGTCTCCGGGAGTCCAATCTCTTTCTTTAGCTTCTTGAGAGACTGATTGATTTCAGAGTGGGTTTTATAAATCTGTTCTGTGATTTCTACCTCGTCATTTTCCAAGTCAAGCTTTATCTTGACTTCAGGAGTTTTATGGGCAGAATTAGACCTTTCTACATCAGTTTATGCAAGAAGGAAGTTACCCTGAAGTTTTCTTTTCTTAAACCCGACTCTTCTCGCTCTTTACACTGAGAGGAGAGGACAGGTATATCTTTCTTCGCTGGGCTGTTTTGGATATACGATCCTGAGTTTTGGAATCATAATTCAAGTTCCTCTTGTACTTCATTTTTAGCTTAGAAATTGTGATCTCTTTATTGATGTCAAGAGCTTTTATAAGAATATTTGAAAAATCTTCTGTAAATCTCTGTATTTTAGGTATTCGGTCTATATTTTAGCAATAGGGTTACCCTCCAAATGGTCTTTGCGTGAGACTTTCAAATTAGTACAATTATTTGATGAATTATTTTCTAGAATAGACTTCAGGCATTGGCCAAAGGAACCTATCAAAACTGAGAGTAATGGTTTAGCACATCCAAGGTTATTCAGAAGTTTTAAGATGAGTGAGCAGGATGGATCAACTTCTTCTCTTAACAAATTCCATATTTTCTCTGAACTCTCGGTTGTCATTTTATTATTCATTATTTTTGTGAAATATAGGGGTTTTGGGGTTTTGGGGTTTTGGGG